AAGAAATTTTAGGAAATCGGGTTTTATTAATTTTGATGCTCATTTAAAAAAAAAAAAAAAAAAGTGGGTTTCAGTAGTAATTTTGTGCAGCTCTGTTGACTTCCAAACAGAAAGAAGGTGAATGGCATTTCTCTACCTAGAAAAAATACTACTTCTCCCAGTGTTGTTTAAATACAGTAAGGAAGGGGACAAGTATTGGACCAACACACCAAAGAAATCCAAGTCCAAATAGATTTTAGGCTAAGGAACAGAAGCAGCAACTGATCAACCTTTGCAATACTCACACAATGAGTTCACACAAATTTGGAGGGGCCCTGCATTCCAGAAGAATCATTTCAGATAAATTTGCACGCACTACCTCAAAACAAGTGATGCTCAACTTCTCAGTAGATTATGGAAATTCATTTCTCAGGATTGACATGGAAGGGGAGTGTAAGAATTGGGTATGGTATTGAAAAAAAGTCTACAGTCCTTGACCTGTCCTTATTTTGTCACAATAATCTGTAATCTCTGTGTGATAAACAAATACTGAACTACTGTAAGCTTTTTATACACTTCCTGGAAGATTCTGTTACTGGCTGCTGCCAGAGACAGGTAGTGGACTCAGATGGACTTCAGATCTATTTCAGATAAACTAGTCTACTTTTCTGTGTTTGACCATGCATCTGGACAACTTTGCTCCAAAAATCACCCCAGTTGCAAACCTGTCCTGTCAACAGAAGCTGAAGTTTAAATTCAGTTCAGCCAAGATGTGCTTGCTTTGGGGCATCACTGATAACATTTTCCCCTGTGAAATGTGTGCCGTGGCTCAGACACACTCTGAAATTTAGTGGGTTTTCGGCTGTAGTTCAACAATCCTCCTCTTCAAGGAATGTTCACGGACATCATACATAAATCTCATTAGTCCTAACTGGTATTTTTACAGACAATCGTCTGTAAAATAACCCTTCCCCAGGCTATTCTAGATCTGTGGCATTGGCTACCAGCTCACAAAGCTCCCTGTCCAATTTTCCAAGTCTCGAGTGATTCAGTCCTTCCCATCTCTTCTTTCAGTCCTCTCTCTAGCTCTGGGCTCAAAACTGCCCTTTAACACTTACTGATTTTTCAAACACATTCCCACATTCTATATTTCAGCAGCTGTGAGGGGGCAATCGGGCCAAATCTATCCTCACAAGCAAAGCTTTGTATTTTAATGCAGCTTTCTCTGCATGGTGGCATTATAGCATTGGCTTTAGGAGGCAGTGGAGAAGAGAGGGGAGGCCTGGAAGAAATTTCAGCAGCCACAGCAAAGGGGACACTTCAGTGTAGCTTCTCCTCCCATATTTATTGCTATTTTAAGAGTCTCCTGGCTTCAGGTGCTGCAGCAAGCCATAGCAGACAGTGTGACATCTTTTATGTGCCTTGTAATCAGTTTGCCAGCTGCTGCCGGTAACACAGACAAGAGGCTTTTGCCAATCCAGCAGAAGTGAAGAACACTCTGAATGTTGGGAAGGATGGTGTTTACATGCACTTTTGTCTCTCCTCTTTCTCATTAGTTTCCCTCAACAGAAGCACCCAGAGGAACTGCCGAACAAGGAAAGGGTCATTTGGTAACTCAAACTAATGGTTTAACAAGGTTCACTAAAACTCAGATGACAAAGAGATTCTGACCACCCAATAGCATGAGTGCTTGTCCCTGCTGCTCCCTCCGAGACCTATATTTTGTGGCTAAAAGAATGCTCTGGCCCTGCTTGTGACAGACATTTATGCATAAGTTTTCTTTTGCTGTACTATATTGGGAAAGAGCAGACCTTTGGCAGAAAGGAAAAAAGAAGAGCAGAAAGAAGAACAGGTCCTTTGCAAAAAGACAGCCTTTCTTTTGCCTCATAGTATTTAATAAGAAAAAAAACCTAATGTGATGAATCAGTCCCTCACCTACATGCCAATCCCATTCCAAACGCCATGCATCCATGGCCAGAAAACATGACACCCAAAAATCAAGCAGAACTGGGGAGAAGGCTAGGAGGAGAAACACCCAAGAAAAGAAAGAAAAATAAGGAATGTTGGGCAGAAGGCACTGTCCACTGGTTGTTTCTCCTCGCAGCCCAGCCTCTGTAGAGGCATTTGAGGGCTACATGCCACAGTTCCTCCCAACATAGATACTAACACATCGTGGGCTGGACAGGGAGTTGGGTCATTTTTGATACAAGCAGCAATGACGCAGTCAAAATGATTCATCCAGACTACATTTCTTGCCCACATCTGGACTCATGGGAAAAGGGTGTCAGAAGCAGGCCACATCTTTCTGGTGGGTCTGCAGATGGTGAATTGGTCAGAGAATTGAGCAGGGAATCAGATCCACTGGGAACTACTCATAGCCCTGCTGCTGCCTTATTGCATTACTCCTTTCACAATCTTTGCTGAAATTTTCTGTTGCTTCTTTTTAACAACAACAACAACAAAAAATCTTCCCTGTTTCCACTGAAATCACTCATACCAAAGCTGTGCTTAGTTCCATGCCTGAACTCATTAGTGAGTTCAATACCTATCCATCCTGAGTGCTGCATACCTGGAATTGGCAATATCTCCAAAATGCCCAGCGTTCCTGGGATACCGAAGGGTTATTATAAATACAATGCAAAGTCAGATCATTAAGTCAAGAGTGCTAGAGAAGGTGCTTACCAGGAGGAATGTTCTCACTGTTGGGATCTTGTTCAATTCCATCAGCAGTCTGAGTGCTTTCTCGTGGTTGCTACAGTACTCCTCGTACACAAAGAATTTGTCCTTCTGCAAGGAAAAACACAGTAACTTATTGACTCAGACAAAAGTGGAGTGACTATTTTGTCACAGTCTGATACCAAATTCTTTACAAACGGGTGTGCACTCAGAGTGGCATTAGGGTTGCAGTTTACATGAAGAACGTGATACTCCTGTAATGCGAATAATGTATAGAGGTGTTCCACTAACTCCTAACTTTCTCTGTTGTAAGTTAACATCAGCTTTCTGAGCACAGAGATTTCTAGCACTTTTCCTCTTAATGCATCACTGAAATAATATATTCTTTGCTGGAAGAATGGATTTTGCTATCTCAGGGATACTTGCATGTGTGTCAGGATATCCCAGCAGAGTAGCTAGGAGCAGAGTAAAGCCAGGAGCAAGTGGGCTGACGTTTCTGAGCTGTGCTGACCACTCCTGCAGGAGGAGGAAACAGAGGTGGCCGGGAAGAACCAAGGCCTGGAAGAAGCTCAGAGATCTGGAGGGGAACTATAACACAAAGCAACCAGCTGGAAATCCCCTGCCTTTCAGGGCTGAGGGGGAAACCCCAGCGAGTTGGCTGGTTCACTTTGTGTTCTGAAACAAGCAGCAGACTTCACTATTTTGATGCAACACTAAACAGTGGGTCAGCTGTCCATAACAGTTTCCCTAAATGGAAGAATTTCATCAAATACACACAAAATAACCAACATATTACAGAAATTAAAGGAAAGGAAAGGTAAGGTAGCTTCACAACTAGACTGAGGTACTTACACTGGAACATGTCACACCCACCAGCACATGCAGTGGGATGAAATCCCCTGTTAAGAAACAAGGGTCGGCTGGCAGCACCAAGTTCTGCTTCACTGATCTCCAGAATCAAGAACAGTGCAACTTCTTCTAACTAAAACGATCAGAGATGCTGAACCCATTGCAAACATCAGATATCTTGGGAACACTGAAATGATTCACAAAAGAAGCAGTAACAACTATTTCCATGCCTGAGCAGACCAGGCAAGGAGCGAGTAGCTCCTTTCAAGGCTGTTGGGAAGGGCTGAACTTTCAGCAGCTCTGTTACAAGATTCCAGTATTGCTCTCACTGGCATAAAAGGCAGGTCAAGAGACTATATTAGGCTTTACTCAGGTTAAATGATTCAGAAGCCAAAAAGACCCACTGTTTTTTGGGTGCTTCTCACAAAAGTAGTTTCTTTCCTGGTTCAGGTCTGCTTCTATGCCACAATGCAGCACCAGGCAGAGGTACTTGGACAAGTTACTTTGCATATCAAAAGTAATTTAGCTGCATTAGGCGGCACTCTGCCAGGGGTAATATGCGAGGCCTACCAGAGCTGGCACCTCAGGGCACCATGCCACGTAGACAATGCCCTCCAGAGTTTGTTGTGGCATCCACATCATCAATTTTCTATTTAGGATCCTGGCCTGAAAACATTCTATCTGAACCTTTTAATCTCCTCAGAACTAGGAAGGTAATTTTTTTGAGTTTTGATTGGACTCCTAGCACTCTTCAGAGATGTAGAGCTTCCTGTGTTAGCTGAAGATATCTGCAGCATCTAGCTACTTTTAAGACAGCTCATAGTGATCCAAACAAAAAACTACTGCCAACTGAAGGAGTTAAGTAACATGAATCCATGGGAATACAGCTGCACTCACTGTCCATTCCCTTCACTATTGTCACATGGAAAAGAAATTGCGTTAATATTAGTTTAGGAGAACTTGACATTCTGGTCAGATGCCAAATGGCTAGATGTACATGGTCAGAGACTGTAAAATGCTTTTGGGTTTGGTTTATCACTACTCTGATGATGTTTTTTTCCCCTCTTTGTGCTTCCAAAGGGAGAATTGAGAATAAATAGATGTATGTTCAAACACAACAACAATGGTACAAAGCAAATAAAACAACAGCCACAAAGAGTATGGTGCAAAGAGCTGGAATGCAGATGTTCAAGACTTCTATCCTTCAACTACAGCTGTTCATATTAGTACTGGAGTTTAATACTGGGAAGCTGAAAAAAACAAAGGCTTCTGACCACCAGATGCAGGAAAAGGCAGGGCTGGGTCCACAGCGCAATAGAAAAGAGGCAATCGAGAGGCATGGGGTTGTTTTCAACCATAAAAAACGGATAGTTACAGAATGAGAAGACAGCTATATGAGTTTCTCCTACATTTCCTCCTCTCACCTCTCTTCAACTCCCTGGATGCACACAAGCAGCATGCTTGAAACTAAAAATAGTAACCATTAACACAACAGCATCCGTTACATCAATGCACACAAAATGTCATTGCTCAGGTTTCTGACTGCAGCTTTGAGTGCCTGGAATTTTGCAAGGTTATATTTAGATCATGACAAGATCCCTTTGCTAAAGCTCAAGTCAGTACAGTAATTATACACACACCAGAGTGCTTTCATCAAGTCTTTTCCAGCTGTCCTTCATGCATGAGACCCACAAATATGAGAACTATGCTTTAAATTACTCAGTGTCTGAAGTGTTTAATTTCCTCTCTGGGTGACATTCAGTCCTGGACTCTCCCATCTCCTGGTGAGGAAATTATCAGTTGCATAATTACAGATGTTAGCCCAGGAATTCTGAACCTGCAGTTACTCTATATTAAAGTGCAACTATGGTCAGATATGTGACCACATAAAAATGGCACCTTCTTACTCAGCAAATCTGCTGGATACACAGCTAGACCTTCTGATTTTGGTGACAGAAATAAGTCTATACTGCTCTTAGTTTGGTTAAAATAAATCTTTAACCAATAGTTTATTCTTCAAATATGTTATTTTGGGTCCATTAGAACTGCCCACAAATTAGTGCAAATTTGAAAATAGTTTTGACTAGAAAAAGCAAATAAGACATTTGAAAAATTGTCACAATTTTATTTGGACATATTTTTAACAAGACATGGCATTTTCTTGTTTCAAAGCAGGCTGAAACCAGTTCTGTCAACATGAGACACCTTAACAAAACAGAAGATACAATTCACAACAAAACAAGATCTCTGATGACTTAGACAGTAAAACTGATCGCTCGTGCAACATTGCTCCTAAAAATGAGGAGAAAACACATTTCCCTCAAAAAAGTTTCTAGCTATTACGTTGCCAAACCTCTAGCAATATGGCAACATCCGAAATGAAGCATCTGTCAATTCTCTGCCCTTCTGCTCTGCAGACAGTCATACGTTTTCAGGATCTGCACAAAAGAGCCCATGCTGATGAGGTGTGATTATTCCAAGTGCGGTGTATGAGCTCTCTTTGATGTTAAAGACTTGTTCTACATGCCATTTTGTTTAAGGCTGCAGATTCAATTTTGAATGAATGTTTAAGTACACTCTTTACTGTCCGTTATGGTCATGCTGAACTACAACTCCAGAAGAAATTCTAGCACTTAGCATCGGACAATGAACATGATCATCTGATCAAATGAAGTACACTAGGGCAAACAATGCCTGTCTTCTGAAGTAAAACAATTTTTCACACCTGAATATCAGAGCAAGTGCATTTCATCATCTGTTAAAATACTTCAAAAAGTCAATGTGCAATGATTGCTCTTTTGGAAACCTTGCAAAATCTGCTTGCTTGCTTCAGGTGTTACTCAAGATCTGAATCCTTCTGAGCTGGAGATCCAGGGGAGAATGTCCTAGCATTATTATAAATGGATCAACTCTGATCCTAGAGGCTCCTAACAACTAAAAGCGGTGTCCTGTTTCTGAAGATCGGTGGACTGTTGTCGAGTGAGGGTCTTCTAGGCCAAGGTACACCAGGAAAAGAGTCAGGCCTACGTAGATTAGAGGAAATTTAGGATACATAGATCTCATGAACAGGATCCAAACACTGCAGTCTGGTAGAACTCCACATGGGGAATCTGGGGATCTCTATCAAGTATATATGATACAGGGAAACTTACAGAAAACATGCTCCACTAAGAAATGCAGTGTCCAGAAAAAGCAGTGCTTCAAGAATTCTCAAGCTATTCACCAAATTTATCAGCATTTTTAACATGGAGTTTGTGAAGAAAAGGACCTGTGCTAACATCTGGCCACTGGCAAGGACTGGGTTCATAATCAGGACTAAGAATGACCTTGCCAGGTGGTCATGATAGAAGATATACTGATACATTCAAGATTCACAGGCTTTATGTCACTTCCTCATGGCAAACTCCCCTGAGGATACACTGTGATTTGATGATAATGAAAAAGCAGCACAGAGGGTGTTCTTCTTCGCACTTCTTTTAAGTGCATGGCAAGAACAAGAGAACCTTACCCAAAATGAAAGACCAAAGAAATATGTTACCCATGTTTTCCCTGGGTAATCTGGCTAACAATGTGCACTCTGAGCAGCCGGCTTTTTCTCCAGGAAACCTCAAGTGTGCTGCAAGGGCTTCTTGTGGCGGTAAAATACTGTACACCTTTTTTTAAAAAAAAATGGGAATACCTTCAGGAGTACTGTTTCTGAGGCACAGGGGTTTTTACGAATGCCTCTGCTTCATCAGAATAGCCCCAGTTAGGGAAATGGAGCTTTGGAAGCCTGAGCAGAAAGGAACTGAAGACTCACTCTGAACCACAGTTGCCGCTGGCATCTTCCTGTCACTTGCTAGAGACTGTGGAAGCCTTTACTGTGACAGGGCACAAATCCCCGCTCCCTCACTCCCAAATATCCACAGTGAAGCTTGTCTTCTACAACCTAGGCACAATCTGCATGCAAGGACAGATTATTTCCTTCTCTCTTGATAATCTTCTGTTGACTGTTCCTTACTCAGACTTGAGGTACCACAATGCTCCTAATGGTGTTCCTACATTTCCTTAAAGTAATTACAGATGACACCAGCTTTTTCTATATATTCTGAATTGAATACATGTTTTACTTCCTTCTGCATAAGCTGCTTCTTCCCTAAGGGATCATGAAACAGTTGATGTACACATTATTTGCAATGCACTCCACAGACAGCAACGTAAGCTAATCTCAGCCAAATTGCCTCTATCAGAAGACAAATTCTCACCAGCACTCGTCCCTATACATTACAGTTTCATAATTCCTGTACTGTTGTATGTTGGATAAATAAGGAACATTACATAATTATTACATTTAACAGTAATAAAGTTACAAAATTATATGTTCATATACAAGAAAACACTACCAATGACTACCTATACCAGGCCTGAATTCAGTCAAATGACAGGATGTCAACATTTCTGGTTATTCAGCGCCACTCTGAAACACAGTAGACAATTTAACAGTATCGCTCAGAAGCCCTGTAATTTTGATACCCTTGCTAATGAATACTAATGCATTAGTACAGCACATCTTGTTGGTAGGCAACGATTCTAGTGGGTATTCAAGATTTTAACTAAGTTCACCAGTATGTTTTTCAGCAGCTGACAGTCAGTCCTCACATCTGATACAATTTTTGGGCATGGTCTCAATATAACACTTTCCAACACTATTTTAATAATTGTCACAGCATAAATAAAAATTAAGTGGGGGGGGGTGGGGGGGAGGAGGGGGGTAGTTGGTAAAGCTCTATGAGTAACGAATGGCTGTATAATTGCTGTCTGCTCAAACCTTATGAAAGGACGAATTTTTATTATGAAAGCATAACAGACCATATTTTGATAGGAAGTTGGCCTGTGGCTTAACACAGTTAATAAGAATGCGAAGAAATGGCTATTATGTACGTGCTTTCTAATTTTCAAATATCTCAGGAGGGCTGCTCTAAGTGAAAAAAATGTGCAATTTCAAATTATTATACATGTAAATTAGGTAACTTTGCATTTAAATGAGTCCAGCTTGCAACTAGGTGTATATAATAACTGATCTTGCATATACAGTATGCTTTATATACATATTGGTCAGAGAATGGCACACATACATGAATGAAAATCATGCCAAGTTAAAAACAAAACAAAACAAATATCTACCACAGGAAGAATTTCACAGTATAAGAAACAAATTGCAATGGGAGAAGTAACGGTAGGATCATAAGCTGCAATTGCACAATCCTCAGTATGGGTCTGTGCTTTCCTGGATCCCCTAGCAGTACCAATCTGACTGGATCGGGTTGGCACACATGATCTTATTATGGATATAGTAGTAGAACAAATAATACAGCTATCAGGCGTAAGGGCAGATGACACAAAAGTAACTCGTCAAAATGTTCTAAACAACCTGGAACTGGCAGACTGAATTTGCATCATATGACTACTTCGCATTTTGTATCTCTGGCATTCTTGAGCTAGCATTATGAGTCCAAAAGCCAAATTTTATTTACTTTTGAGCTACAGAATGCAGGTATGCGTTTATTCCATGGTTAAAGGGTGTAAATGTAATATACATGTATTACATATATATATGTAAATGATATATTGTCCTTTGGTTTTGATTTTGATATTTGATCTTTGTGCATTTCGGTTTTTTTAAATTTTAAAATACACACAAAAATTATTCTTTTACTTGAAATTGTGCTGCTTTTTTGAAATATTTAGAACCAAAGCAGACAAATTCTTAGCAATAAAATATGACCAACTGGGTGAGAAAAAAAGGAAAAAAAATATTCAATAGGAAAAGGAAGAGTTTCTAAAAATACCGTGTTGTTTAGCTGAGTTTGATGTGGTTTCCATTGTTCTAACCTCATTCACAAGTTTTTCCCACCCTACCTACAACTTTCATACAAGACAAGCATTGTCATAGTATTGCCACAAGCCTTAGAGATTAAGGCTAGCTAAGGGGCATGGGAGCTTATGACAGGAAACTGCATTTTCAGATAGTGTTAAGTCATTGTACTTACAAATTTTAAGAAAACATTTCCCAATTCATGCTGAGACTGAGGTTCTGGTTGTAAACAAAATTCCAGGGCAGCCAGGAACTCCTTGTGAACACCAAGAATGTCTTCGATGTTAGAAAATAAGATCTGAAATATAAAGAGAAAAACATTGCTAGCTGTTAACATATCTGAAAGTGTTTTGTTAAAATAGTAGCACCAAAATATTGTGGCTCTAGACTTGCTGTGATAGGATCTAAAGCACAGACAGGGACTTGTAGAGAATGAATTACACTGTATTTGCTCCTTTCCTGGTCCCCTACAGAAATCTTTATGGCTACTGAAGTACTTGCTGTAAATGAAGGTTATCTTTCTGGATACCTGAGCATAATGAATGTGAGCAACCTCTTTCAAGTCTAGAGAAGATTTCCTATGAGACCAACCAGGTGAATGGAATCACGGGGACCAAACTCACTTTGCAGCAGACAGAAGCTGGAAGTCATTTGCCTTTCCCGCCCATGCGTTAGAAATAACTTTCTGGAAGAAAGGGACTTGAAGCTATCGCACACAAAGATGTACCTGTAAATCTGAGACCAAATCTCTGCCATGTGAGATCTAGCATTTCACTGACAAGAGTACAGAATAGTGTGAAATGCTTGCAAACCACAAGAGCAGCATTTCAGAGTTCCTCTTCACTGATCTCAGTGGTTCTACAAGGCATATGTAATGGGATAGAGGCCCCTAGTTTAGACGTGTACTAAAAGGTAATTGTGCAATCTCACAGCTAAATGATCCCTAGTGATTTGAATATACATGTGCTAAGAGGAATAAACTGCCAGGGTGAAAGCTGCTATAAACACATAAGCTGGGATCATGTAGCAAGGTTTTGGTAGTGGGGGGGGCTACAGGCTTCTGTAAGAAGCTGCCAGAAGCTTCCCCTGTGTCTGACAGAGCCAGTGCCAGATGGCTCCAAAAACGAGCCGC